AAAACTCTCATCCTCAAAACCTCCTAGAATCGGGATCCATCTTCTCTAATTTAATTGCCACATGTTTTTAATCTCATACATCCATCTTCTTAATAAATTTTAAATCCCACGGGATTATTGAATAATGATAATTAGAGACTATTTTTAAAAAATTTCCTTTCTAGTTTCACAAAATTATAACATATTTACAGGTTACTTTATTTTGAAAATTTTTGAATTCTTAAAAATGGAAAAGGAAATGTGTATTTGGTATAATATAACTAATAACTAATTACTTAGTATTATTAATTTTATATTGGGAAAATGTTATTAACTAATTAATATCTTATTAACTAAAATTATTAAAGATATATTTTCTAAAATTTTTATCTTTAAATATACAGTAATTAACTACCGAAATATCTTATTAGATCTTTATATATACGAAAAATCTTATCTTTATCTTGATGTACTGGTGATCACACAGTTAGTTATATTAGTGGTTGGATGAGTTTGGGGATTGATGAGATGCCGCTTTCTTCCCCGACTTTACGTATGGTTCTTTGAGTGGGGTTGATGAATCTGCACAAGTAGAAACCCATGAGAGGACGGGGCTTGGTTCCCCTGTGGTTCCTCTAACGATCAAATTAGTTGATGAACTTGAGTGGAAAAAAAAAAGAATTGTGAGAGTTTTTCATGTGTGCAATATATCTGCTTAGAGATCATATTTGTGTCTTAGATAAAGATGGACTAGTAACTCTATTTATACCTAGGGTATAATGGTAGATCAGTCACTTCGGCCAACTGCAGGATGGCGGTGGCGAAGTGTGGGCTGCTGGCTGAGTCAGCACCTACTTTACAGGTGTTGACTGGCGACTAGATGAGCGATCAACTTAGCATTAAACGAGAAGTGATTGGCGGTATGACGGTGCCCACATGGTCCGATGATTCATGAAGGTTATCGGCGCTAGATGCATGATGCGTTTGTCATGCATTAAATACAATGCTGACACGTTGCCGGTGAGAGAGGCTCGAGGCAGAAGTTGTACTTTAACTTCGTCGAGAAGTAACGCCTTTCGAGTCGTCCTCGCGAGGCATCCAACAACTAGTCAAGTGTGCTCGTGGCGAGTCATCTTCGACAAAGGAGGCGACAAGTACTACCTTTCGAGTCGGCATGAGGGAATGTCAACTCGACAAGTCAGCTGAGTTGTCGTCTCTGTTAGTCTCTGGCCGTCAACTTAATTGGGACATAACATGCAGTACACATGTCCGTTACTTGGCAATGAGTTGCACTTTGGTGAATGAGAACAGCATAACACTTTATATAGCGAAAAATATTATTAATTTAATACCAAAAATATTTTTAACTACGAAAATTCATTACTAAAATATCTTAGTTATATATACGAAAAATATTATATTTACATATAGAAAATACCATTAATTTAAATGGATAATATTATTAACTAAATTTGTTAAAGATATCCTCTCTAAAAATTTTATCTTTAAATATATAGAAATTAACTATTAAGATATCTTTTTACATCTTTATATATACTGAAACTCTTATCTTTATATATGAAAAAATATTATTAATTTTATATGCAAATAAATTATTAATTGCATAAATTAACTATTCTAATATCTTAGTACATCTTTATATATACATAAAATCTTATCTTCATATATGGAAAGTACTATTAATTTTATACAGAAAATACTATTTTAACTAATAGCTTATTAACTAAAATTCTTGAAGATATTCTTTCCAAAATTTTTATCTTTAAATATACAGAAACTAACTACGAAAATATCTTAGAATTTCTTTATATATACAGAAATTCTTATTTTTATATAAGCAAAATATTTTTACTTTTATGCAAAAAATATTATTAACTACAGAAATTAACTAACGATATATCTTAGTATATCTTTATATATACGAAAAATATTATTTTTATATATAATAAATATTATTAATTATATACCGAATAATATTATTAGCTAATATCTCATTGACCAAAATTCTTGATGATATCCATTCCATTTAAATATACAAACATATCTCCCTATATAATTATATATACAAAAAATCTTATCTTATATATGAAAAATATCATTAACTTTATACGAAAATATTATTAATTAATATCTTATTACCTAAAAATCTTATAAACTAATATCTTATATATGGAGATCTTTCACAAACTTGAGCGACATGTTGCAAGTACCACCCAGCCATCCATAGAAATCTTTATCATTTTAAGCGTGACACATGGAAAACCTCATCAATTTAAAATTTTAAATGATGATTTAGAATTTAGAAAATCACATAAATATTCCAAATAACCAATTTTAACCGATAAATTAAAAATATTAGATCTTTACTATAAAAAAATTGTTGAATAATGATAAGTATCAAATTATTTTTTAAAATCGAGGTAANGTTTGTTAAAGTAAGATAGCACCGTAGAGTATGACAGGTTTCGGTGTTTCGTTACTCTTCTTTGATAATTCAGCACCATAGAGACTGTCATCATCCAGAGGTGGTAATATGTCAATTAACGGAAATTTTGTGGAGTAAAAAAAAAAAGAAGAAGAAGAAGGGAAAAAAAAGACGTGTTTCCACCCAAACAACCGAAAATTCAAACTATTAAGGGGTGTTAGTCAATTGAGACATTTTCATGCAAAATGGGATAATTATTAAAGTGGAATAATTTTTCGCTAGTGAGATATTTTAGTGGGATAAATAGAAACAATTTTGTGAAGCGGGATATTATAATAAAATAACATGGGATAAATTTTTATAATCATGAAATATATATTTGCGTATTTTGAAGATATAAATACTACTTATGTATTTTAAACTTTCTATTATTGATTGATAATTGCTTACAAGAATGTTCTTTACTATTAAATAACTTTTGGTTAGACTATAAGATATTAACAATTATTATTATAATAATGGTCTAATGATGATGATAACCATAATAGGAAAGAAGTAAAGAAAAAAATATATAAAAATAAAAAATAACAAAATAAATATGAGTTCTAGTTTTTTACCACCTAGTTCCAAACTAAGACTTGGAATAATTTGAGAGACTAGAATTCTCATTTTTGTATAGAAAAATAAAAAAATAGGATAATTTTGTATCATTATCCCAATTCTAATTTTGTAACTAAAATTTTGTTCTAGTTTTAGTTCTACGTGACTAACACCTTAAAATTTTATCTCACAGATTATCCTAGTTTCAATTTAAAGTTCTAGGTGACCCCCCCCTCCCCTTGATAAATATGAGAAGCCGCAAGGAAGAAAAACCGTCATAAAAATGATAAATGGCATAATTCCAAACTGTATACGGCAATATTTCACCCTGAAAGTTCAATAATAACAATTTAAATGGAGAAATTTTGGACCGTGGACCTCCCCGCAAAAATCAAAACGCATCAATCATTTGACCCGTAAAAAAGATCATGATGAAAGTCAGAAAATTGTCAAATTCAGACCAAGGATTTTAGTCTAATGCTACCGATTACTTGCTTAATGTAATTGACGTAATTTAACAGCTCAGAGATGGTCGGATATATTCGTAGGTAACGTCAAAGAAATGTGACAACCAAAATGCGCACACAAACTCATTCAGCCAGTTGCTTCAAAGTCAGAAAATAGTTTGCTTTATCAAATTTGACTCCTTCAATCTGTTTACAAATATAATTAAGTGACAACAACATGATACCCATCCAATAGAGATGAGATTACATAAGACTTCCTTAACAAACAAGACAAAGCCAGCCCTTGTACATTCTCTTGACATAAAAAAAAGATATTGGATTACCAACCAAATATTATAGGAAAGGACAAATTTTTTAATTCGACCAATTTAAAAACTTAATTGCCAAAAACGACTCAATTCCAATTTAATTGTCAAAATTGGCCCAATTTTTCGATGTTTGAGAAAAACTTTACGAAACTTCACGGGACTAGAAAGTTTAAGCTCCGATAATGGGCTTGATTAGGGGCGCCCAAAACTTCACGGGACTTGAAGTCCCGTGAAGTTTTCTACCCACAAACTTCACGGGACTTCAAGTCCCGTGATGTTTTCCTCCTCTTAATTACCTTACTTTCGTAAATAACAACGCGTTTAAACTTCACAGGAGTTGAAATCCCGTGAAGTTTCGTAAATTATTTCGCCAAAATCAACCCTGTTTCAACCAACTGGCTGAAACTTGGTCGATTTTGACTATTAAGTTTCTAAATGGGTGGAATTTGAAAATTTGTCCTATAGAAAATATAATTAACAAACATCCACACCTGTCTCACAAGTAATCAATAGAACATGGTAATGATCTTACCCTGATTGGAAGCAGCTCGTGAAATTAACACACTTACGAAAACATTTCCTCGGATAAATCCAACATTTAGTACGAGTTTTACACAAAGAACATCATAAAATTATATGATTAAAGAGCACCACAAACTCTCAAATCTGAAGAAAAATATCACTAAATTACAAGAAAAGTACCCCCCACCAAAAAAAAAAAATCATTGACGATATCAAAGGCGCATAAGGCATGGGTTTGGTGGTGAGATCAAAGGTCAGCCCTCAGCCCACCCAAATAGGCCTACTTTTGACCCGACCTAAACCGTATTCGAGCTAGGATATGAGCAACCAACCTAAACTCAACCTCAACCCCTAAAATGAAAATGTTTTAGGTTGAACTTAGGGGGGGTAGGGAGGGGGGCACTCTTTCGTGGATTCGAATATCGTTCTTTATGGATTCCGAGGCTATCACTTCCGCGCTGCGTCAATTGGTATCTATGTAGGACGCTTAATCCGAGTTAGAGTCTATTCAGATTAGGAAATAAATTCAATTTTAGAGTCAAATCAGATTAGGAAACAAAATCAAATTTGATTCATGATTTGTTTCCTCTATTATAAGGAGTCTTTTTAGGATAGAAACATTTGAATTCCGTTGAACAGCAAGACATATGCATCCAGTTACCGCATGAACCCCACATATAAATTTCTTTTTTCTTTCCAGCAAACAAAATCAAACGAATTAAAATCTTAATCCTCCTAGACTAGTCCTTAGATCAAACAAAGAACAACCTAATAGCAACTCCGAATCCAACCAAACCAGCCAATCTCCAGTTCACCACTAATCCCCTGTTCCCTGAGCTTGCATTCTCATGTGGGGCTGGTGCACCGATGCTAGGAGCAGCAGCAGTCTCAGCTGGCGCTGGTGCTGGTGCCGGTGCCATAGAATGATCCGACCCAATATTAGGCGGAATAATAAAACCACTGATCTCAACCACCGAAATATTATGTGGCTGCGAAACAACAAGCTTGACAATATGCGCATCATTCCTAGCCCCAGGCTCAGCTGATCTGACCGTGATCATATTGCCACCGATATCAGCGAGGGTAAGATACCCATTTTTACCCGTGCTATGCCCGGTGGTCTCAAAGAGAGTGGATACTTCGATGGAGGTGTTTGCTATATGAGAGAGCTTGTTGTTGTCATAGTAGTCGCGGATGACGTGAAGGGCTAGGATTCTTCTAAGGACGTAAGCGGGTTGGTTGGAGATAGCGGATGTGGCAGAGGCACCGGCAGCAAAGACGGTGATCATTTGGTGAGAGTTGATCTCGGCAGCCATTTGGGTTTGGGAGAGGAGATCATTGTAGGAGGAGAATTCGGGGAATTGAGCGAGCATTTTTGTGATGTCGTGGCTGGTGACGGAGGAGATGAGGGAGATGAGGAGAGCGAGCATAAAGAGTTTGGGAGCCATTGTGGTGAGTACAGCAGTTTGAATAGAGAAAAATAGAGTTTTATAGGGAGGTTAATTGACCTTTTAACTATATTTGGAGAAGTTTTGACAGTTGAGAGACCTTAGAGGATCCCTGAAATGTGGAGGCCTTTCAGATGTTAGGCCAATAGGAGAGGTTTGAATTTTTTTCCTGGCCATCAGTTAGATTCTCAATGGACCGGGTCTCTGAAACCTGAACCAAACAGAAATTCTAGGAAGAACCGATCGACTAAGTATTGACATGGATATAATGTTAGACACATACACCATAAGGTATGAGGCATGAGTCATGACATAAGGTATGAGGCACGAGTCATGACACAGTCATGACACACTGACACACAAGAAAATTGCATAAGAATATATGAAACAATAATGCATTGTTATGCAATAAATTTTAGAAGGATGCATAAAATGGCTTCAGATAAAACTCATTATAACAGATTTCAGTCATGTACATAACCAGCTAAAAGTTTACAACACCAGAATGTACTAATATATACCCAGGACTTCGTTTATACATTGTATGTGTTAGCTATGTGATGCAATTTGGTGTTATGCTATGACGATAAGCATGGGAAATTTATCAAAGGGTTTCTCTCCAATCCAATTTCCAAGACATTATCAACCTCACCTTTTTTACAATTCAAAATGAGAAAAATAGTGGCAGAATGTCTTTTTTTCAAGGATAAATACTGAATAATAAATTTCATTAGAAATGCTGGAACAGTAGGCAGATAGGCTAAGACCTGAAACCTCCAAACTTGCATTAAAGCAAAAGATACAGTATCAGTTTCTAGTACACGAAAGAAACAACACAATTTGGGTTCAAAAGAAGCAGTCGTGGAAAACCAAGAATAAGATTGACGCTATCTTTCAGAAAAAAAGAAAAGCTACCTACATGGTCTCAGGTATTACCCCAAATCAGGGTAAAATATGATCAGTAAAGCATTAATCGATTGTGATCCTGTTATACATCACACATTAAATGCTCTACAGGTAAATAGAAGTAAGAGATTTGCAATTTACGACTCTATATCTTTGTTTTAATAGTACGCTAACAAACCTGAAATTATGCTGATCGAGCACAAGCATTTTGAAGGAACAAAAATTGTTGAGGACAGACTGTTGCCTGTTACTGTCTCATTGAAACTGCAAGCCCAAAGAGATCTCAGGACAAACCACTGATATTTAACACTGCATTCTTATTTAAAACATTTTCGTCTTCAACTAAAGGAAGCGTCTTCCACACTTTCAGATTCAGTGGGTTTCTTTTGCTTCCTGTAGTGCCACGAAAGAAAATAGAAGTTATCAGTGAGAGACAAAATTGTTCGCTTAGAAAGACTGAATAAGTTAAATACCCACCTGTACAGTCATTGTTGTTCTCCACACATACTGCAGCATAATGAGAACCATCCAGTTCGAAAAGAGCAAATTGCCAATTGGAAGTGAGACTTTCTGAAGTATCTGAGACTTCTACAACAATTCTGGGAGCCTGATATTAGGAGTTGTAAATTGTTCAGCAAACTGCAGTTGTATGCACCTTAGAGACATCAAGCTATAATAGAACATGAAAAGATGCATTATAGTGTTTACTCACAGTTTCAGAATCAGTAGGAAACATCTGGCCTTTGCTTTTCTCAAACCGGATACTAAAATCCCTAAAAGGTGCTGCTGAAAATCCTCTTCCAAGAGCCTTTACATATGCTTCCTACAAGTTGAAGGACTACTTAGTATGTCATAAAATCACTGACTTATTTATTATATATTACTAAACACTATTAGTACACATTACAGACTCCAAACCAGATTCCTTAAGTTCTTTATTCTTTGTATTAGTACAATACCAGTAGTAAAAATTACCCCTCTATTCAGAATCAAGCTTTGAGAGGAATCATTCACGTAAAACATAATTTTTTGAGTGAAAATAATAAGATAAATGCGCTCACTTTAAGGGTCCATATTTTAATGAACTCCTGTCGCTGGCTTTCAGGATCTGAGAAAGACTGCAAGAACTCGACTTCACATGAAGAAAAGTAGCGTTGGGCAAAGGATAAGATGTTATTCCTCATCTTGCGTTGTTTTTCTTCCACATCAATTCCAATCTTTGACATAACACATCACACGTTTATTAAAATTACTCTTATACATGCACAAAAGAAATCTGACTAAACAGTGCATTCTTGACAATAAAAGGATCAGGATAGTACTGGCACTTCTGTTGTTATGCCACATGCAATCAAAGATGACGTATGTGAAATATTAAAATGCAAGGATGGCTGCGTCCAGTTATCATCTTTCCACTCTACCTGCTAGTAACAAAAACAAAATGGTGGTGGTGTCAACACTACAGCTAAAGAACTCCTTGATGAGTCATAAGAGTAATGTGACTTGAATGTGTATGATGTTGAAACAAGAAATGTAAGACTATTGATGAGGACCATTAACAGTTTGTTAGCAGGCGAATCGTTACCTCAGGCTTTCCAAATTTGTTTTTCCTGAACTGCAAAGAACTTGGACCTGCTTTACCATTGGTATCTAATCTAACAAAAGCGAAAACCAACCATTAATACACACAGTTATAAATCTACTACAAATTTACTGTTACAAGCCACCAACAACAACATGATGCATGAAAGCATATGCAAAGTTTATTCACATTTTGTGTAACAATTTTCGTATCAACTTGGAGAGAAGTATCAGTTTGTTTAAAGTTATGTATTTGCATGCATATAAGTTAACTGCCATATGAAATCAAGAAGACGAATAACACCAAGGATGGTGAGACATACATCTCGCAAGTGTGGTGCGGACCAGTGCTCGAGCCAGCAGAGCCCCTTTCTGAACTTTGTCATTGTTCATCTGCAAGATACTTCGTCTTTCACACGGTGAAAGGAGTTCTACATACCGATTCAATAGGAAATCGTCCTTCACCTCATCGGGTATTACATACCAAAAGTGTGTCTCCCTGCACATAATAGAACAAATACAAATAAGTTCCGCATGAATCTTAAAAAATAAATAACAACCATAAGCACCCAAATGTCATGAAGGAACGGGCTATCGTATTAATAGTCCGCTTTATCATCAATTTGAACTTAGAAATCAAGATTTTGCTAGAGTAACAAATGTTTAAAATCGTTTCGATGACGCATCAGAATCTTGAGTAACCTGTCATGCAGAGTCATTTTAATGTTGCGCTAGAATGTTCATAACACCAACTCAAACTATCCCATAGTTTCACTGGCATTAGCATAAACTAATAGGACCAACAATCCTAATAGAATTTCCCTTCATCCTCCATTGGTACCACAATTTTTATTCAGCAACATAGATACTCTCTTGCTCGCTTGCCTCCCTTTTGCAACACATCCCAATCAGCATCTCAGTATCTATTTTGCATATGTACAATGAACTGAAATCCAGCTGATTCGTCACCACCCAAACATGTCTAGCGTACAAGAATGAAGAAGCTCATCTATATCTAGCATTGGCACGGACATGGGTGTGATACACTCATACACACTAACACCCTTATCCATACGAGATACTAGGGTATAAATACGGTACAGATGCAGCAACCGCCTGAGGTTCCGGTAACCACTTACGCAAGCAACCACACACGGCACAAACATATTGTAAGAAAATCCTAAAAAGAAATGCCACGAACGACAGGATAACAAAACACCAAAAGGATTATGTGCTCCTAAGTCCTCCTGTAATAGCAAAACTTGATTTTTTTTGTCACTATAATGCACACGCTACGCACATACAATAAGCATTGAAATTCATCCATTTGAACAAACACGCGCGATGCGCCCGATTAATGCATCTCCCATCTTATGCCCATATGTAAGTTCCAAATTTATTGCAGCTCAAATAGCCGCAACTATCCTAATGCATTTCCTTATTCTTCATAATACCGACACGAAATGGGTAAAATACTTTCAGAAAAACCGCAAGTTTTGTCGATTATGTGAACCAAGAATCACTTTTAAGGGGGGGAACACAAAGAAAATTAGGGTTTTACTGAATTTCAGATAACAGCGCAGATTTCAAACTTTTGCATCGACAAAGAGAAATCACGTGGTTGGGTCTGAATAAACAACTGATTATAAAACAAAATATCGATTGAAAATCGAGCGCGAGCTCGCGCGCGCGCGCGAGAGAGAGAGAGAGACAGAGAGAAGGAGAAGTACCTGGGAGAGGGAAGAGGTAAGGGAGGTGGGGAGGGCGTGGGAACGAGAAAACGGCGGGTGAGAATATCGGGTTGGATCGGTAACATGTTCCTGCGGAGCAACCCAAGCATGTGAATTAGCAAGTAGTCTTTCTTCCTTCTTCTTTCAGAGGTGAAGAGAGCGCCGCAACGAAAGAGCTCCGATGAAGGGAGTTTTGACCCCTTGATGAAGTGGACAGATCCACCGGTTGGGACCCGAACCCGCTGCAATTCCTACCGATCCGATTGGAGCCCGCTTTAGTTTTTAATTTTGTGATCAGGAAATATTGGGCCACTTCGGCCTGCTCTCAAGACCAATCCTGGCCTAAAATTTTGAGGAGTTATGCAAGAGAAGTTTGGGTTTAAAATAGAATCAATTTATAATGGGTTTTTTTGCACCTAAGAAGAACTAGGCAACTGTTTTAAAATAGAATTAGCTTAGGGCGTGTTTGGATTTCAATAGGATTAAGGGAATTTAAGGGAAGCTAGGTGAGAGAAGAGAAGGGTAGGGAAGGGAGTTCCTTTCCTCTTGGTTACACCCCAATTTGGGGGGTAATAATTTCTCCAACAGTTTCCCCAAAAATTTGGAGTTGGTTACACCACATTTTCCTTCAATAATTTGGAGCATCTCCAACAGTTTCTCCAAAAAATTCTCCAAAATGGGGAAGCAAAAGTCATATTCTCCAAATTATTTTTGTTCCAACTCCAACAGCTTCATCATTTTGAAGAATCCTGCATTTATTACAATAATAAAAATATTCTACATTCCTATTTTTGGATGCTCTTATGCATTGGAATTGCCCCCGTGGTTTTTTTTGTAATTAGGGGCTGTTTGGTTGCCTCTTTTAGAGGCTGAATCCCTGACAAAACTGACAAAAACTGTCAGTTTTGGCAGGGGATCTTGCAAAAACGTCTTTTTTAGAGGCGTTTTTGGGTGATTTCCTGCCAAAACTGACAGTTTTTGTCAGTTTTGGCAGGGATTCAGCCTCTAAAAAAGACAACCAAACAGGCCCTTACGGATTTTATTTTATATTTATTTTCTCCTCCATCCCGTCTTGAAGAACGTGTTGCATTCATGACCAAGCTTTCCCTAAATATTTGAAGAATGCCCCAGATTTGGGGAAGACTCCCCTTTTTTTCCTCCTTCATCCCTATTTTGGGGAATGAGATGGGGAATCTGTTAGACGAAAAAAAGCTCAAATTTCTCCAAAAATGAGAATACCAATAAAATAGGGAAGCTGTTGGAGATGCTCTAATGGGTGAACTAAGGGGAATTAGGGTGAATAACTTCACCTCTTAAATGTTCCCAAACAAGGTGATTGGGTCCCCTAACTTCCCTTCTCTCTTATTCCCCTCAATCCAAACAAGCCATTAATGAAACATTTTCGGCCTAAGAAATTTTGGGACACCACTGGCCCAGCTTTTCCAAACATTAGATCAAGTTTAAATCTTGTCCAATTTTGAGAGTTTGTAAAAAAAAAGTGCCTTCACTTATAGCCACGCCAACATTGGTCCACCCTCCACCCTACACCAGTCCTAGGCTGGTTATAAAATAAAGCAAGTTTAGCCTTCGTTTAACAACACTATCATCATCAAAGCCTTTATCTCAAATATTGGGGGTCCGCTACGTGAATAATATTCTTCCATTTCATTCTATTATGAGGCATCTCATCCGTTAAGTTAAACATAATCACATTCTTCTTAATTGCTTCCAACCAAGTTATTTTAGGTATACCCCTAAATCTCTTAGCCTCATTAACTATAATACTATTATTTTTCCTAACCCCTGTACTAAAAGGGTCATTGTTGTACATGACCAAACCATCTTAATAGATTCTTTCTCACTTCATCATTGTTTTAATTGTGTACAAAATGAAGTCGTCAAACAATGGATCAAAAATTGACCCAGTCTTTTAAGGCCGGATAGTTATCACTAAACTAGTTTTAGTTTTCCTTAAAAAAGACCCACTTCAAAAACATCTTAGTAGATTCTATTTCTTCTATAAATACTTACTACTCCACCTAGATATTAGAGATTACATACTAGATTCTGGTGAGGTACTTTGCTCACTGGATTTGCGGGAATCGAGTCAAGTGGTAATGAGATGAAGCAAGAAGTGGATTTGAGAGGTACTTTGCTTGCTTGATTTGCGAGAATCGGGTCGAGCGATTGTGAAATCTAGTAAAAGTGGAATGAAAAGTCAAGTGATAATGAAATGAAGTAAGGAGTGGAATGAAATAAATATGATATCAAGTCAAGTGATAACGAATCAAGTAAAGAGCGAAATGAAAGAAAAGTGACAATAGAATGTCTATCATCGTTCTCACGTTTGGATGAGATTTAGAGAATGACGATTTTATTTTTGTTTTTGTTTTTGTATAAGTATTAATAATCAATCATAAGATGTCTGTATTTTATTTTAACCTTTTCCGTTCCCACTCATGTGGGGATTTCTATTTCTTAATAATAACTTATTGAGAATGTCCTTTCTCAATTTGTGAGAATGGATATCCTAGCTGTCAAAATGATGCCGCTTTTGTTATCCGTAGATAAGAAGCAAGAATAGACACATTGTTCATCCTCATTCCCGCATAATAAACAAGTAGTTCACCTCGAGTAGTTTGTATGTTTTTTGGCCGAATCCGAAAGAACCCAAGCAAAACAAGAAGAAACCACAGTGGAGAAACATTTCAAGCATAAACATATATTATTTCTCAGCCATTTTAACATCCTAATCAAGATTGTAGCCTACATTTATTCTGAACAAATTGAGAAGAACTACATCATTCTGAAGGTTCAAAGTTTCTTATCAAGATTGTTTGGTTCCAGTTTTTTGATGGGTAAAAAGGAGGAAAGCTGCCAAAAATGTCAGCTTTTTGGTAGCTTTCCCCAAAATCGCCTGTATAAGAGGTGATTTTTGATAGATTCCTCCCAAAATCGCATGTATAAATCGCCTGTATAAGAGGCGATTTTGGGGGAAAACTGCCAAAAAGCTGACATTTTTGACACCTTTCACCCCTTTTACCCATCCAAAAAACCCCTAATGAGCAGGCCATTCCAAGAACCTACGCGTCGTCACGTGAAATACGCTCGCTTAACCGGCAGGCGCACGTTAGCATCACGTCTAATTTATTTATTTGATAACTACCCTATCTCTCCTCTCGTCTCGCTCCCCCAAATTTCAAATTTCCCGACAAACCTCAAAAAATCATAACTCCTCGCCGGCGAAAATCCTCCCATTTCCGGAAATGCCCTCGCCTCACTCCGACTTCGACCTCGCGGTACAAAAAAAATTTGCCGAAACCCCTTCTCTCTAATTCTCTCTTACGAACTCCCCCCCTCCCTCGAGATCTGTCTCATTTTATTTCTTAAATCTCAAATGCAGGGATCCATTCAGCCAACATTAGGGATGGGGTGAGCTGATCTCTTCGATTCACCGCCCAGAACTAGGTTTTCTTGATTTCTAGGGTTTTGACCTGGTTCCGATCCTTTTGCAGCGAGTACACGTTCGCTGATGCCGGCAACTTGGAGCATTGCGCCAAGTATTTGAACCAGACGCTGGTGACCTTCGGGTTCCCTGCCTCGCTCGATCTGTTTGCTACGGATCCGGTGAGCGACCTCGATCCGGAGGATCTGCGTTGTTTTTTTTTCTTCCACTACGGAGTTTTGAATTAATTTCTGTTTTTGTTTGATTTTCCGTGGTTTTAGGGTTTCGGGTTCATCTTGAACTATTAAAGCACTTCTTAAGAAATTTCAGTTGCGATTGGGAATATGTCACTTTCCTTTTTCCCTAAGCGGGAGCAGTATTGTGAATGAAGGAAAACTTGGAATTTTACGAAATTGACTTAAATTTTGTGGTTTATTGTTTTTATAATTTATTATTTTCAGAGTTAAGATTATGTAATAGCTATTTTGTTGGTAGTAGGGGTTGAATTGGACATAAGTTATGAAGCTGCATCTAAAGTAGAAACTTTTTATTTTTGTTAAGGCTTTAGTTACTGTCAAGTGCCAACCTACAAAAATTTACCCAAAAAAGACTGAAAGTTGCGAACTTACTATATTCTTTCTTTCGCTCATTGGTGTAGGTATCAATTGCAAGGACTTGCAATTGCATACATTCTCTACTTCAGCAGAGGCAGAGGGATATTGAGTTTAGGGAGTCGGCTAATGATCAGAGGCAAAGGTTTGTTTTTCATCTGATATATCTTAATCTTAATTTATCTATTTTAGAAATACGTCTTATGCAGTGACTCACGTAAACATTATTCTGAAACTGTTTCAGGTTGCAATCTGACATATCAAGATTAGAGGCCAAGGTTGAAAGACTTGAGGCGCAAATAGCCTCTAAAGACCGAGAGCTCGCCACCTTAACCCGAAAGGTTTGTTTGTCAGTTATATTATGCGGAAACTTTCCATACTCTAAAATTTCCAGCTTCATGTACATTCTAAAGCTGGACATGATCAGGAGGGTAAAGCTACCGCGGCGTTCAAAGCTCAGATTGAAAAGCTGCAGCAGGAAAGGGATGAATTTCAAAAGATGGTTATTGGTAATCAGGTGAAGAATAAGTTGTGATAGTTGTGTCATGTCAAGTTCCATCTTTTTTTGGCAAAATAAGTTTCTCCTCTATAATTTGACTTTTTCTGGTCTTACCTGACAACTTGCAATTTTCCCTCCTGATTTTGCAAGCAAGTGCGCACACAACAAGTGCACGAAATGAAGAAAAAGGAGAAGGAATATATAAAATTGCAGGTATTATTTTTGATGCGTCTTTACCTATCACGGCTTCATGACTATCGTTTGCAAGATGAGCATGCAAATGGTAGCCTAAAATATTAATGGGGTTCTTAATTTGTATAATGTAGGAGAGGCTAAACCAAGTGTTAATGGAGAAGAAGAAAGAATCTAAGTCAGGAATGGAGATAATGAATTTGTTGCAGGTATTGAACAACATGTTTATTATTAAAAATCTTTGAAGAAGAAGCGTTTGTTATTTAACTATTTTGTTACATATATTTCTTGCTCTCTCATTGTACTTCACTAATTTGTGTGAGTGTATTCTTTCTTGAACTTCCATTATCATGTTATCCATCTTGGTGTCTATCTTGAGTTTTCATTATGATATATACCTTGGTGCCTACCCCCTGATTCTTCTGCTCTGGATAAATATGGTAATCTCTAGCTAATGTTCTACTGTTAATGTTAACAGAAAGAAGGACGCCAACGGGGAACATGGAATGGAAAGAAGGCCGACAATGATTTCTATAAAATGATTGTAAGGAAGAATCTACAGAGTTCAACATACAGTTTGTAGTTGCTAATTTCCACAATATCTTACTGGCATGAACAGGTTGATGCATACGAAGTGAAGAAGCAAGAACTGATGGCTGAGAATTCCGATTTGCGGGCATTACTACGTTCAATGCAGGTAGCAATTTGTAGCTATGCTTCCGATATTTCTTGTGATAATTGTTAGCTTTTGTATATGGTGATAATTTTCTGGTGCATACATTTAGATTTAAACTCTTCTTATTGCAAATATAACATTTCTTTTACAGTTTGTATTTAAATTTATCTTTAAGCCCAGTAATGTTAGGTGAGTATATGAATTAGAGCTACCTGAATGCAAAACACGTGTCAAGTGTCGATCACAACAACTTTTAATTGGGGAGATGAAACAGGCATTTTCTAGGAGATATTTGCACATGGGTGGATCAACGACTTCTATGCTCTTTCTCTTCTCTTGGCTTAATGGCTCATCAAGGGGTGCAGGAGCAGTAACAAAATGTATAATTCCCCGGACATAATACATATACACATATGCATATAATTGATCGCATGTGAGAGGAGCAACATGTTCTATTTAGTTAAAAAACATGTCACACTTTGGGATGACTGGAAAAGTAAAGCAAGACTCGTTAGCCTCTTCTTTCTGTTTTTCTAGATCCTCTCAAAGTACTCTTTTTAAGTCTTTCCCTTTTATAATTTTATATACAGTTAAATCCTATTTTACTTTTTCTTAGTACATTATATGAGAAGTATCCGAATCATAGGACATGGACATTCAAATGTCTTAATGTATCCGTGTTGCTGACACGACTAAACATTGTAAAAGTGGAGTATCCTGCTCACAGTGGCATGTACTGACGTCTGCAGTTAAAAATTTCTTTTCACCGGTCACCTCATTGTTTGTCATAGTTAATAATTGCTGTAATTTAAAGTTGAACTTCTAATCATCAAAATGAAGTAATATTCTTTTGGCTTCACCCATAATTACTTGTTAGAAAATTTTGTTAATAAAGTTACTAACCTCCAACTCTTAAGAATGAACTTATATGCTTGCCAAAGCATTTTGGTAATTGAAGCTTCAGAATAACTTTTCACTGAGGGAGAGATTGTCCTTAACCAAGCTCAATGGAGAAATAGAAGAGAGGATTCATGTAGCTGATCTGAAATTTATTGGGATTATACTTTGTTATTGTTGTAGCTGTGTTAATTCAATAATTAGTCAAGAGAGACTACCTTAACTTAATTCCACGTAGTGAAAGGTGAAATGCTGCTTTAAAAAAAAACTGAAAACAGAGTTTTTTCATGGAGTATTATTACATATGGATCGTTGCGCTCATTTGTATTTGTTTTGATTACAGTTCTTGGTTTTATGAATTTCTTCTGCAAAACCGCTACAAGCTGTACCATTATTATTATTATTATTATTATTATTATTTGTATATGGTTTCTGTGTGCTTCAGTTCTTTGCTAGCTTATTTGTCCCCTCCTATTGTGCAGTAACTTTTCTTAATTTTCTCTTACAGATTTTTTATGTATTACTTGATATGTTAATTTTGTTTACATTAAGCTAATGTAATATTGTGATTTGCCTGACATTGTCTGTATAGATGGACATGCGTGACTTCTTAAATGCTCCCAATGGGCAACCACAGCAACCTCTGAATGTTAATGAAAAGCAGGATGCAGGGTCTCCTCAATCTCCTTTGGGTGGCAGGACAGTAAGTTCATCAGATGTTCTATTTAAAAAATGCTATTTGGGTTCTTCTTTCTGACCCTATTTCATACGCGATAACTTTCTTTATTGAATAACTATTGTCTTGACGACTACTTGCAGGATGTATTTGACCTTCCTTTTCATATGGCTAGAGATCAAATAGAAGAAAGTTTGCGAACTAAGATGTCTTCAATAAAGGTATTGTTCTTTCACACTCACGCATACATGCACACACAAAGACACAAACACACGCAACATAATGTATCTAATTTTCCTTCATCTGTTTCCTACTTGGTGTGTTCTCTGTTCACAATCTTTGTTTATTCATAGAACTAAGTTTTTAGTATTCAATGGGTAAGGCACGCATGGTTCAGCTTCAAGATGCACAAAAAGGAGCTGAGGTGACCTCTGAAGCGACTGAGAGGGAGCTTGAGCTTGAAGCTCAACTTGTTGAAGCGAGGAGCATCATTCAAGAGCAGGTCATTAATTACGTTTTCCCCTTAGCAATTCATGTTTAATTCTTTTACGAAACAGCATCAAACAATGTTTACTATTGCTGGATTGTGAATTGCACTCCATAGGATGGTTACTGCAGTTGAGTTGCACTTGTCGTTTGCTCAGCTGAAAATTCTCTAGAGCGAACTGTGTTCTCTTAGTTCTGCAGCCTGCCCACTGAAGCTTAGCATGCCTTCAATTCATCGACTATCATCTTCAATTACCTTCCCTTCTTCATGCTTCTCCTTTTCTCTCTGCTGCACACATGATTAAACCTGAATTAGAGCTGCTATCTTTACCAAGATTAGTAACCAGACCAGATGTTGAGTCAGTTGGCATTATAACATTAGTTACTTTGTTGTCCCCTCACTTTATTGATTTTGGTTTCATTCAAAATTTCATTTGGATAGATGTTTTCAAGTACTCTTCGGAAACTCCGTGTTCAGATTCTCCAGAATCTCTTGCCGAAATCATTACCTGGAATAAAAGTTGAATCAATTCGAAACTTAGTTTAATTTGTTGTATCCTAATTTCTTTCATTAAGAATTCTTTTGCATCAATGTTTTCCATCATTGAAAATGAACACTTGACAGTTGCAATCAATTTGATCAAGAATGTCTCATAGAAGAAATGAATTTTGGGGGATATGCTATATTTTTGGGGATTCTATCATTTTTATTATATGATGAGACTTGAAAAGGTTAGAGACAGAGTTCAGGTTATGTGTTTCTCATTTTCCACCTTCTATGGTATAAGAGTAACTAATCTCCTAAATTATATATAGTCCTTTAACCAATTTGATGTATAAATATCAACCACACCATGGCTTTATCACAATCCTTGGATCTCAGTGGATAAATACTATAATCTTGTACATAGTAATAGAACTTTGCCCTTCCTATTGATTTTTTGGAAAGTGCTTTGTATTTTATCTCACAATTAAAGCAGAAACCATGTTCATGACGTGCACAATATCAACTTTATTGGTTATCAAATTAATCTGGGCACTTCGTCAATGCAGCGCCATACTCTTCCATATGGAATATAGCTTTTCCATTCGTATTGTTTTTACGTGAAAAGACTATGTATGAGCTCGCAATGAAGCACAAACAAATTCTTGCATTCAGATCATGTTAGAAAGTTACTTTCAGTTTATCATCTTTTTCCAGGATTCCGGACTCCAGATCAAGAAATATGAATATGAATTTAAATGACACTACTCTTTTCCAGTCTTGATTAGATGTTTCTAATTTGGCTATGCGAACAGGGGAACATGTGATGATAAAATGTTCATTGATTCCCTTTGTAATATGCAACTTTGTACTGTCATTGTTTGCACATGTTACGTTTATAATGACACCTCAGTGATAAAGATTTTTCAATATCAGCTAATTGGAAGAACGATGAGCACTCAGTAAGGAGAACATTAAATGTCAATTTCTCTGCTGTTATTTTCTTAGTTGCACACTGGGTTTAATTTTATGCTATATCCTCCACGTAGGAAAACATTGCCCTTTTACTTTTGGATGGTAGACACTTTGGTAAGGTTTTGAAGTTTCATGTGGATGGATATTATATGCACACTTCTCAGTTTACAACCCTCTCTCATTTCCAAGTTGACTAGCTTTTTGTTTTCTTGAATAAATGCTCAAATTCAACCAGTCATTTCCCCTCTCAAAACACACCAACCTACTAAGCACACATGCACAAACAGACAACCCGCTCTACACCACCACCTCTACAGCTGAATGCGCAAAGCATGCGCGCGCACACACACTTAGTGAAGAGTACTGAAGGTCATTTAGTAACTTGTAATTGAAAACATGAGTAAGTTTGAACTCATGGAATTGCAACGTCAATTCATGTTATTATGTATTATTGGAAGATGACTGATTTCTTTGTTCTCTAGCTAGTTGTTTGTTTAGATGTATTTGGAATGTTAATTCCTTGGTTTCAAGTTGTATGACATGAAATCTCTTTGAGAGATCTTGGAATGGGAGGGTCAAATTCTCATATTTGTGAGAATTTCAATAGCAGGTCTAACTGGAAATGTACAACACATAGTGAACTAAACATTGTCTGCACCTTGGAACCGGAAACCTGAATATCAATTTACACTTACAGAAATCAATAAACTTCAAGCATTCAAATTGCCATGCATTTTATGTTATAGTGGGTTGGTTGGAGATAATTGCTTTCTAGTTCCATAACTAGTACTTTAGGAGTTGGTTTTTCCATTTGGGTATACAAATGCTTTGATTTACCATTTTGGTATCACTAAGTTTCTTAGAAATTCAAGTTTCTTACAAATGAATTTCTCATATGTGCTGCTGGTTTAATAGGTTGCTTTCTAGCTCCTTAACTAGTACTTTCACGAGTCAGTTCTTCATTTGGGTTAATAAATGCGTAACAGTGTAATACTATTACTTTTATTCAACATGTTTATTCTTCTTTTGTCTTGACAACAAATTTCATATTCTATTTTCTAATCAGCTTGAGATTCCATGTACTACAATGCTACATATATATATTGTGGGTTTTGGATATGCATTATGCACTCAAATCTGTGTTATGCATTCAAATCTTTGTTATGTGCAAATATTTCTTTAACCTTTTGAATTTGGTAGGCAAAAGCTAAATTACTGTTAAGCTGGAAATTTGGTTGGAGATCTTAACGTATAATTTCTATGCAGGCTTCAATAATGTCCAAACACATTTCAAAGTCTGAGAAGCCAAGGTGACAACATAGAGAACCCACATGATTTTTCTGAGTTCATCTCATATTTAAACTATTCTTTCATGTAGGAGACTAAGTAGCCAGCTAGATGCTGAAAGGGACGGGATCCATCCAGCGCCTACTGAGGTCCACTTACTGCCTTCCTCATAAACATTTTCTCGAAATTACTTATTATCACCAAATGCCGACCTTGCTATTTTTTTTCTTTTTTTCATTAAATAATTACAATCTTCATCAGCATTTGAACACTCTAATACTTTTGCCTCACAGTACGTTTTTGAGAACATAAATTTCCACTTATTGGTATGGCCATTCTAAATAATCTGTTTTCAGGAAAACTTGGATCTCTTTAGTGGATTCTGGAAAATAACAACTAAGAGACATGAGACAGTTTAGAATGTAAAATGGAGTGCAGGCTAGCACATTCAGTCCGTAACAAATTAATAATAGTTCCACAAAGTTATATGTGCTTACATTCATCCTATAAAGGCATGAGATAAATTTCATTTATTTAATTTGTAGAAGTACAATGGAGTTTCTTTGTGTGGAATTATCTTATGGTGGTTGTGCTTGTCCTATTCAGGTGGTCTAGTAACCCACAAAAGCCTGGTATTTTGACAGTGCCGGCTTTAAATGCTATTCAGCTGCATTGGCGCAGTGCTGTACTAAGTTCTAGAGTATCAGGGGGGTGGAAACTGGAAGCATCAGAGTCAGAGCTGGCACTGATATGTAACTTTTGTAAGTCTAGTATTATCTGGATTTGGATAGGTTGAAGTTGGAGGATTCTCATGTGAATCCCTGACTCTGTCCCGATTAATAGCTAAATGATGTATCTCAAATACTGATTTTTCAATAGTTATCATTTGAAGCCATATCAACATAAGCTTCTCTTTTCCAATTCACTGCAAGTGGGAAATTATTCAACAGCTAATTGCATGGAGCTTCAGTCGTTTTCTAACGTTGCTTAGTTAACAGTTGGTGACTTAGTTACTTTGTTTAAACATTCATAGGATCTCCCTTGCTGGTTTCACTCCTCTCTTAATATGGATCATGGATATACTTCTTAGGAACTCTGCTATTAGAGGCAGTTTCTTAGAATTTGACTTCCTGTTTTGATTGATCTATGGAATTCCGCAAATTGACTTGTAGAACCTTATATAAGATCACCTTCCAATTTCTTCTTTCTTATAATATCTATATGTATGCTGACATTTATTTATGGATTGGTTTCTTGTTCTCATCCTTCTGAGTTATTATGACCGGCTAGTTCCTCGTCATGTTTATCTTCTGATGCAACAATTAAAATAAGAATTTGATATTAGAAGTTATGTA